CAAGTAGACTGAAAGAGTTATGAAAATGGAAGACATCCATGATCTGAGATATTAAGCTATCAACCGTATCATCAATATAGCTATTAAACTTTTTTTTTAAATCAGCTTGAAAAGGAAAAGTACAAATGAAAAGCCAAAACTATAAAGCTGGTCCAGAGTTGCATTATGAACAGCAGTAAGATGAAGTAGAAGAGAATACTGCACTGCAACAGTAGAGTAATAGTGATCTCTCATCACGGAAGCTCTCACCAAAAGGATGGAGATAGGGTCTATTGAGGAGGATGAAAAGACTCCTATGGGAGGAGAAATGATGAATGATGGAAAGCTGTATTAAAGTTTAAATAAAGAAGACAAGTACAAGATCACCTATGGGCACACTGTCATACCTTGTCCATGTGGTATTTACATGCTGCACTTTTAGAGAAAGGTAGGGCTGGGCACTTATCTGGTTCTCTCAACCAGAATACTATTAATGTATGAATAAGCTGGCAGTGACTGAGAGACATCATGGCATATTAAAACACACACACACACACACACACATACACACACACACACACACCAGCAGCTGATATGGCTGAAGACTAAAGTGGTATGCAGGAAAAAACAGGTGAGGCAAGAAGGCTAGGCAGAGGCTATACTTGGAAGGTCCTGTATAATAAGAAATTAAGATTCATATCCTTTAAGCCATCAGGAACCATCAGAAGTTTTACGCAGTTAACTAATACAAAATCACTTTGGTAGCAGTAGAGATAATATATTTTAAAAAAGGAAACCAGTGGCAAGGGGCTAGTTTAGGGATTAATGCAATAATCCAGTTAAGAGATACTGAGTCTTAAATTAACTATACTTACTCAGTCATACGAATATTTAAGAAGCATATAATAAAGGTCCTGCTCTGTGCTAAGCGCTAGAGAAATCAAATGAAACAGGTATATTTACCATCCTCACAGTAACCAGTGAGGTTAGAAAAGTAACATATATAGAATGATTGCAGTATAGTATGATAAATTCAATAACAGGAGTATATACAAGGTAGAACAAAGAAAGGAGTGTTTAACTCTGGAGAGAAGGCCCTTGATTTTAATGGATTGAAACTTGCCAGGTGTGAGTTACTTATGTGGTCTTCAAAAGATGACTAGGAATTTGAAGCTCAACAGAGGAGATGACAACAACAATAAAAGTCAATATTTATATTGTACTTACTACATGCTAGTCAGTGTCTTAAATGTTTCACATATATTAATTCAGTTTATGCTCACAATAACCCTAAGGGATAGGTGCTAATATTATTTCCATTTTATAAAAAAAATAAACTGAGGCAAAGAGAGGTTAAATCACTACAGTCACAAGGCTAAGAAAGTAATGGAACCAGGATTTAAACATAGGCAGTTAGGCTCGCCATTACCTTTCTTAAATGGAAATAAAGATTTGGGCCGGGCGCAGTGGCTCATGCCTGTAATCCCAGCATTTTGGGAGGCTGAGGCGTACAAATCACCTGAGGTCGGGAGTTTGAGACCAGCCCAGCCAACATGGTGAAACCCCGTCTCTACTAAAAATACAAAAATTAGCTGGGTGTGGTGGTGCATGCCTGTTATCTCAGCTACTCAAGAGGCTGAGGCAGGAGAATCTCTTGAACCCAGGAGGTGGAAGTTGCAGTGAGCCAAGATCGCGCCACTGCATTCTAGCCTGGGCGACAGAGCTTGACTATGTCTCGGGAAAAAAAAAAAATTTGAGACTTATCATTACAGAGTGGTAGCTGATCTGAGTGTAGGTAAGTTCCCCCAAGGAAAGAGTACACACTGAGGGGAAGTCTGAGAATACAAGCCAATGGAGGGAAACAATAAAGAGTTTCAAATATTCACAGAGAGATAGAATAAAATAAGGTCCCAAAAGAGTCTACTGCATTTGACAATGACATTATTACAGACCACTGTTCAACAATTTAAGGGGAATATTGGAGACAAGGCAAAGGGGCTCAGACACAAGGGGAGGTAAAGAAGTATAGAACACACATTGACTACTCTTAAAAAAACTTAACTATGAAAAGAACAAGTAGTAAATTACAGGCAGCAGCAAGAGGGAGACTCTAGCTTATAGGAGAGATTTTTCTTTTTTCTTCTCTTTTTTCCTATTGGAAGAGCTATGAATGTACCAATCATCAGAATGAGGGTACCAAGGGAGAAGAAATAGAGACCGAAACTATAAGGGAAAAAAGGATGACTGGTAAGTTTCTGGAAAGGTGAGAAGATGAGAGCAGCTTTAAGTGTGCAAATAAGAGGCAGAGAAGTTGAGAGTTTGTGCTTATTGGCCTTTATTTTCTCTGACAAACAGAAGATGATGTCACTACTAAATGATGGAAAGCTTTTGGAATAGTCACTAAATAGAACAGGGCAGTGAGCCTATCAAGGACAAAAAATATTGCTAAGATATAAAAACCCAGTAGAGATCAGAAGAAAAAAGCCATACTTTCATACAGGATATCAGTCCTTTTGGCTAGAGAATTTCTCCTGCTGTGTTTAGCAATTTGGATAGGAAAGAGAAAAAGGTGCATTTTATAACAAATACAGGATTTGACGTTTGCAGAATAGGTAGAGAATAAAGACAAGCTGGTAAGAGAGCTTGCTGGTGATTAGATGGGGAGGCAAGCCCAGAGAGGATGTACACCTTGGTGAAAAAAGAGAGACGTCAGGGGACAGGAAACATTGTTAATAATGAACGGGTTTAGGTGGAAAGGAGTAGGAAACACAGAGCAATTGTAGTAAGCTCCACAAGGGGAGAAAGCCTGTCTCTTTTGGTTACCCTTGTCTAGTTACAGTCAATAAACTTCCATTGCCAAATACCTGGTCAGAGAATAGGGTATTGGGATTTAGGAGTTGGCTGTTATGACAAAATTGATATGATCCATGTTGCAAGATGCTGAATAAAATTGGAAAGCAGAGTCCCTGAAGTAAGATCCACTGAGGCTGAAGTATGAACTGGGCCATCCATGGCAGGAGTTGGACTATGAAACATGTGACAAAGTTATGTGTGAGGAAAGAAACAAAAAGCGGACAGATAGTGAAAAGAAACTGAGTGGAAAAAGCAAGACTGCTGACATCTCAAAGAAGGAGAGATTTTGTCTGAAGGTGGAAAACTAATGCTTTGGGGACAGCATTTAAAAGCTGGGAGAACAATAACTTCTCCCTTCCAATACTGAGACAAAGGATGGGGAAGGAGGAGGATGTGGGAGGATAAGCAGCCCCCACTTGAAAAACTGCCAGAGAAATGATGTCCTTGGGAAAGTGCCAGGTTTCAGTTAAGGCCAGGAGGTAAGGAACGTTATGTGAAGAGGAACAGGGGCTCCAGAAGGCAGAGTGAAAAAGGGTGGGAGGAAAGCTGTGGGAGGATGAGCCAGGATAGAAAGTACAGAACAGTATGGGAATGAGATTATGGAGACAGGATGCCGGAAAGGCTTGCATTTTGGTGACTGCGAGCAATCTAGGGATCAGAGTTATGGAAACAATTAATGGCTTAAAGGTTTGAATCGGAACTTTAGGACAAAGCAGTTTTGGTACTGGTTTCCATCCAAATGTTCTGTTAGTCTGATTTCTCTCTACCTTCTTAAGATATTTTAATTAGAGAAACAGCAGATTCTTACCCAGTGAGACCAGGTTTCCATAATTCTCCATCATGACATCTTTATACAGGCTTCTCTGAGCTGGGTCCAGATAATCCCACTCCTCCTGGGTAAAAAACACAGCCACATCCTCAAATGTCAGCAACCCCTGAAATAGTATGATTTCTGCAGTCAGTTCTTGTCTCAAGGACAATTCTACCACTGAAAGTGGCAGAGGCAATCACTTATCAGGGCCAAGTAGGCCAGGAGGAACAATGATAACTGAAAGTTCCATATGGTGCCCAATTCTGGGAACGAACTGTAACTGACAGGCATCTCAGAAAGGACCTAAGGATAAGGCTTTTCTGATTTAATAATTATGCCCTAACAGTTTAATGTTAGTGAACTGCCCCAAGGCCTCTCCAAGCTTCCCTCATCTCACTACCTGCTACAATTCTCCATTTGCACTGGCTTGTGACTCTATGCAATTCCTTGAGGTTCTCTAAGCGTATACTTTGGGTACAGGCACTGTGCCAGGAACAGAAGACACAAGGGAAGGTCAAAAATGGTGCTTCACCTGAAAAACTCACAAATGAGAGAGCTAGTCTGGAGCATTACTTATTTTCTCAAGCCGATTTATAAAGTCTCTCTAGAAAAAGAAAAAAAAAAGGAGCCAGTGGGCAGTTTGTTCGCGAACCGCACCCCAGCTCACTAAGTGGGGAGTTCCTTGCAAGGCGCTGGTCTTAAAGAGGCGGTCAGGAGGTTGGTGGGGAGCCTGGGGGAGAAAGCAATGTTGTGGCCTTGCTGGGGTAGTGGCGAGACAACGGGGATCCCGGGGGGTGCTTACTTACCTTTGGCTCCGGCGGGGGACTCGGGGAAGCCATCTCCCGGCCAGAGAATAGGGGCAGGAATTGGGGGCGGCCGCACGGAAAGGAGCCTCTGGTGAGGCCTAGCCTGCTGCTGGAAATTAGGCCCGACGAAGACGAGGACCCCTGGCTGGGTCCGGCCAGTGACTGCCTCGGCCCCCAGGCGGTCACGACCCCAGTAGCATATCAGACCCGATCCCTGGCTGTCCCCCAACCCCGAACCCCTACCCCCACTCCTGTCTTGTTGCGCAGCCTTTCAGGCCTCGCAAGAGCCTCCTCCCCGCTGCCAGTTCCTCCTCCTTTCAGCCAAGTAGCGCTGTGACCGCCCGCCCCCGGACCAGAAGGCGTCACCCGGATCATTCCCGGGACGCCCCTCAACTACAACTCCCGTCATGCTCCGAAAGAGCGCCGCGACCCAGACGCCGCCGGCAACAGCTACGGGACTACATTTCCCAGCGTGCAAAGGGCGAGGGAGCCTGCCGGAAAGGGAAAACGCTTGCCACTGAGCTTGTATCCGATTGGCTGTCTGGGCGCGTCACTGTTGGCTGAGGGCTGCTCTCAGGTCAGTGGATCTCAGCGAAGATGGCCGCGCGATATGTGTCCGGCATTACCAGAAGAGTCTTCATGCGGAAAGTCTCAGGGGCACCACGTAGAGAATTTTGGTCTCGATCCAGGTAAAGCCGAAGGGTGGACGGTGGGTTACGTTCAAGGAAAGTTAAGGAGGGACGAGTTCAAAAGAGAGTGTTACACCTTCGTGGTCCCGCGCCTGATCAGAGCAAGGACAAGAAGGTCCCGTTAGGGTCCCGAGTTGAGAAACACTCATCGAGTGGTGGGACCCAATCTCTTCCCCTCTTAGTTTTCTGATTTTATAACGGAAATACCACCCCCTTTTCCTTTCGCTTCACTCATTCATTTATTAAGCAAACAGGATTAACCTCTTGTGCGAGGCACCCAGTGAGTTGTCTGCAAACACATGAAAGCGCCTGATAGGCCGGGCGCAGTGGCTCACTCCTGTAATCCCAGCACTTTGGGAGGCCGAGGCGGGAGGATCACCTGAGGTCAGGAGTTTGAGATCAGCCTAGACAACTTGGCGAAACCCCGTCTCTACTAAAAATAAAAAATTAGCCGGGCGTCCTGGTGCACACGCCTGTAATCCTAGCTACTCGGGAGGCTGAGGCAGGAGAATCGCATGAACCCGCGATGCGGAGGTTGCAGTGAGGCGAGATTGCGCCATTGCACTCCAGCCTGGGCGATGAGTGAAACTCCGTCTCAAATTAAAAAAGAAAGAAAGAAAGAAATCGCTTGGTAAACTAAACTCATTATTTGCCGGCTGTGTTTCTTCACAAGCAAGGTTCAGAAATATAGTACGGCCTCCTCATTTTGTGTGTTCACTCATTTTGTGAGTCATTCAACAGATTTCTCAGGGCCAGCATTACTGTAAGCACCTAGGATACAGCAGGAAAAACAAAGTCTCTTCTCATCCTCGAGGTATTCCAAACTATAAGGAAACGGAGGCCCACAGGAGGGAAGTGTTTTTCCCAAAGTCACAAAGCAAGTTAATTGCAAAGCTGGATCTAGAACATATGTCTCCTAACTCCCCATCTGTTGCTTTTTCCGCTGCACGGCTGTACCATGTGTAGTTGTTTGAAGGTAAATCTAATTTGATTTATATAGTGTTTAGGAAATGAAAACTTATGGTAGGAACTGTAGGGAACAATGCGCTCTTAGGTTTCAAACAAAAACTACTACAATTAGGAAAGATTTTTTTCATCAGCTCATATATTAGCTTTCCCTCTTCTTTGGTTAATATTTGTTATTATCTCTCAGATCTCTTCCAAGTTTGTTTTATTCAGTGACTCAACAAATATTTTTTAGACTGTTTACGCCAGGCTATATTTTAGGTGTTTTAAGAATACAGAGGTTACTAAAACAGACTAAATTTTTGTTCTCATAGAGCATATGTTCTAATCGAGGAAGAAATGAACAAATGTATAATGTAATTTCAGGATGTAGTAAATTATGAAGAAAACTAGAGAAAATAAGAGATAACAGAATGATGAATTATATTTTCTTTATTATTTATTTAAAAAAATTATGTTTAAGGTATAAAACGATGTTGATTATTAGTCAAGCTAATTATCATATTCATCTCTTCACATACTTTTTGTTTTGTTTTAGATAAAGGAAGTCTCACTATGTTGCCCAGGATGGTCTTGAACTCCTGGGCTCAAGTAATCTTCCCCCATCAGCCTCCCAAATTGCTGGGATTACAGGGGTGAGCCACCACACCTGGTCAGTTATTATTTTTGTGTGTGTGGTGAAAACACTTAAAATTTACTCCTGGAAGCTTTCCAAGTATACAATATAGTATTATTAATGATTGTCACCATGGTGTACGTTAGATCTCTTTAAATTTTACCTTTTAATTTTAAATTTAAAAATTTAAACTTTATCTTTAAATTTTACCCAATATCTCTCCATTTCTAACACCCCTGGTAACCACCATCCTACTCTCTGTTTCTGTGATTTTGGCTTTTTTAGATACTACATGTAAGTGAGATCATGTGGTATTTTTCTATCTGGCTTATTTCTCTTAGCATAATATTTTCCAGGTTCATCCAGGTGTTACAAATATCCTTTTTTAAGGCTGAATAAAATGCCATTTTACGTGTGTGTGTGTGTGTGTATGCATTGCATGCACATAATATACATATATTCATACATGCATAGGCACACACATACATATATACACACATGGCATTTTATTCAGCCTTAAAAATTGTGTATTTATGTATCTGTGTATACATATATACACACATACTGCAATGAACCTGAGAGTGCAGATATATTTTTGAGATACTGCTTTCATTTCCTTTGGAAATGGAATGTTACCCAGTAATAAGATTGCTAGATCTTAGAATAGTTAGGAAAGTTCTGTTTACAACTTTTTGAGGAACCTCAATACTGTTTTTTATAATGGTTCTGCCAGTTTTCATTCCTACCAGCAGTATATAAGAGTGCCCTTTTTTCCATGTCCTCCCCACACTTGTCTTTTTGGTAATGACCATCCTAATGGGTATGAGGTGATGTTTCATTGTAATTTTTTTAATGTTTATGGATGCATAATAGTTGTACAAATTTATGTGGTACATGTGATATTTTGATGCAAGCATACAATATATAATGGCCAAATCTGAATGGTTGACATATTTATCACCTCAAACATTTATTTCTTTGTTTGGGGAACATTCTAAAGCTATTTTGAAATATAAATAAATTGTTACTAACTATGGTTACCCGTGAAATCAAACACTACAACTTACTCTTTCTAACTGTATTTTTGTACCCATTAACCAATCTGTCTTCATACCACACCTCCTCACTATCCTTCCTGGCCTCTGGTAACCAACACTTTATTACTACCTCCATGAAGTTATATTTTTTTGGTTCACACATGGGAGTGAGAACATGCATTATTTGTCTTTCTGCACTTAGCTTATTTCACCTAACAGTGTCCTCCAGTTTCATTCATGTTACTACAAATGACAAGATTTCATCCTTGTTGGCTGAATAAAATTCCATTGAGTATATGTACAGATTTTTTTTATATCCATTCATCCATTGGTAGAAACTTAGTTTGTTTCCATATCTTGGCTATTGTGAATAGTGCTGCAATAAACATAGAGTGCAGATATCTCTGATAGACTGATTTCCTTTCTTTTGGTAATGGTAATTCTATTTTTAGTTTTTTTAGGAAATTTCCCTACTTTTCTCCATAGTTGTTGTACTACTTTACATTCCCACCAACAGTGCACTAGTGTTCCCCTTTCATCACATCCTTGCCAGTATTTGTTATTTTTTGTCTTTTAAATAATAGTCATTTTAACTGAGATGAGATGATACCTCATTGTGGTTTTGAGTTGCATTTCCCTGATGATTATAGATCATTTTTTCTAATGACTTGTTGGTCATTTATATATCTTCTTTGAGACATGTGTTTTCAGATCTTTTGCTCATTTTAAAATCAGGTTACTTTTTTGTTATTGAATTGTTTGGGTTTTTTATATATTCTGGTTATTAATCCCTTGTCAGATAGTTTGTCAGTTTTTCTCCTATTCTGTAGGTTGTCTGTTCCCTTGTTTATTGTTGCCTTTGCTATGCAGAAGCTTTTTAGCTTGATGTAATCTCATTTGTCTGTTTTTGTTCTTGTTGCCTGTGCTTTTGAGGTCTTACTCAAAAGGTCATTGCCCAGATCAATGTTCTGAAGCATTTAATCAACATTTTCTTCTACGCAGAAGCTTTTTAGTTTGATGTAATCCCATTTGTCTATTTTTGTTCTTGTTGCCTGCACTTTGGAGGTTTTACTCAAGGCCCTTGCCCAGACCAATGTCCTGAATTTCCCCAGTGTTTACTTTTGGTAGTCCTATAGTTTTGTAACTGCCCTACGGGTTCACTTTGCTTAGACAGAGCTGATTTATCAAGACAGGTGAATTACAATGGAGAAAGAGTTATTCTCACAGAGCCCCTGTGTGAGAGACTGGAGTTTTATTATTACTTAATTCTGTCTTCCCAAAAACTCGGGGATTGAAGGTTTTTGAGATAATTTGGCAGGTAGGGGCTCGGAAAGTGGGGAGCGTTGATTGTCAGGTTGGAAATGAAGTTATAGGGGGTCTAAGTGAGCTCTTCTGTTCCTGGGTGGGATCACAGAACTGGGTGAGCCAGATTACTGGTTTTGGTAGTATCAGCTAATCCACTGAGTGTGAGCTCTGCAAACAATCTCAAGCACTGACCTTGGATTTTAAAATAGCCACGTTATCCCCAGGAGCAATTTGGGGAGGATCATACTCTTGCAGCCAGACTCTGCATGACCCCTAACCATAATTTCTAATCTTGTAGCTAATTTGTTAGTCCTACATAAGCAAACTGGTCCTCAGGCAAGAAGGAGGTCTTTTCAGGAAAGGGCTATCATCAATTTTGTTTCAGAGTCAGATCATAAACTGAATTATTTCCTTCCCACGGTTAGTTTGGCCTGCGCCCAGGAATGAACAAGGACAGCTTAAAAGGTTAGATGCAAGGTAGAGTAGGTTAGGTCTGATCTCTTTCACTGTCATAATTTCCTCGGTTATAATTTTTGCAAAGACGTTTCAGTTACAGGTCTTACATTTAAGTGTTTCATCCATTTTGATTTGATTTTTGTATGTGATGAGAGATAGGGCTATAGTTTGATTCTTATGCGTATGGTTATCCATTTTTTCCAGTATCTTTTATTGAAGACTGTTTTATCCCCAGTACATATTCTTGGCACCTTTGTTGAAAATGAGTTGGCTATAAATGCATGGATTTAATTCTGGTTTCTGGATTCTGTTGGATTCTGTGTGCCTGTTTTTATGCCAGTACCGTGCTCTTTTGCTTGCTATAGCTTTGTAGTATATTTTGAAGTCAGGTAATGTAATACAGCTTTTTTTTTTTTTTTTTTTTTTTTTTTGCTTAGCATTATTTTGGCTATTCAGGGCATTTTGTGGTTTCATATGAATTTTAGGTTTTTTTCTATTTCTGTGAAGAATGTCATTGGTATTTTGATAAGGATTACATCGACAGTGTATTGCTTTGGGTAGCATGAGCATTTTAATAAAATTAATTCTCCCAATCCATAACATGGAATATTTCCATTTTTGTGTATGTCCTCTTCCATTTTTTCATCAGAGTTTTGCAGTTTTTATTGTAGAGATCTTTTACTTCTTTGTTGAAGTTTATTCCTAGATTTTTTTTGTGTGTGTGGTTATTGTTAATGGAATTTATTTCTTGATTTCTTTTTCAGATTGTTCACTATTGGCATATGGAAATGCTACTGATTTTGTTTGTTGATTTTTGCATCCTGAAACTTTACTGGATTTATTATTTCTAAGAGTTTTTGGTGGATTATTTAGGTTTTTATAAATAAAAGATTATATATCAACAAGATATATGAGATTATATATCACATATAATAGGTAAAATCATATATCAAATAAGAACTATTTGACTTCTTTTCAATTTTGATGTACTTTATTTCTTTCTCCTGTCTAATTGCTGTGGCTGGGACTTAAGTCCTATGTTCAATACAAGTAATGAAAGTGAGCATCCTTGTCTCGTTCAAGATCTTAGAGGAAAGGCTTTCAATTTTTTCCCTATTTAATGATGCTAGCTTGTTTTGTGTCCTTGTTTGGTGGCTTTGTCATATATGACCTTTATTATGTTGAGGCATGTTCCTTTTGTATCCAGTGTATTGACAGTTTTTCTCCAGAAAGGATGTTGAATTCTATGAAATGCTTTTTAAGCATCTATTGAAATGATTCTTGTTCTTGATTCTATCAGTGTGATGTATCAAGTTTGTTGATTTGCATATGTTGAACCATTCTTGCATCCTGGATGAATCCCACTTGGTCGTAGTGAATGATCATTTTAATGTGTAGTTTAATTCTGCTTGCTTATGTTTTGTTGAGGATTTTTGCATATGCTTATCAGGAATGCTGACTGTAGTTTTCCTTTTTTATTTTGTCTTGTCTGGTTTTGGCATCAGGGTAATGTAGTCTTGTAGACTGTGTTTCAAACTATTCTCTCCTCTTCAGTGTTTTGGAATAGTTTTGGTAGAATTGGTATTGGTTGGTATTAATTCTTCTTTAAATGCTTGGTAGAGTTCATTAGTGAAGCCATCAGGCCTTAAGCTTTTCTTTGGTGGCAGATTTTTATTACAGCTTCTATCTCGTTACTTTTGTTTGGGTTTTCTGTTTCTTCATGATTGAGTCCTGGTAAGTTGTCTGTGTTTAAGAATTAATCCATCTCTTCTAAGTTTTCCAATCTGTTGGCTTATAGTTGCTTGTAATAATCTCTAGTCTTAAAATTTTTGTGATGTCAGTTGTAATGCCTCCTTTTTTGCTTCTGATTTGATTTATTTGTGTTTTCTCTCTGTTTTTCTTAGTCTAGCTAAAGGTTTGTTGATTTTAACTTTTTAATAAACCAGGTTTTCAATTCATTGTTCTTTTTATTGCATTTTTAGTCTGTTTCATTTCTACACTGATCTTATTTCTTTCCTTCTACTAATTTTGGGTTTGGTTTATCTTTTTCTAATTTTTTAAGGTGCATGTTTAGACTGTTTATTTCAAGTTTTTCTTTTTTCATGTAGGTATCTATTACTATAAGCTTCCCTCTTATTACTGCTCTTGCTGTATTACATAGGTTTTGATGTGTTGTGTTTTCATTTTTATTGCTTCAGGACATTTTTAAATTTCCTTCCTAATTTCATCGACTCATTGGTCATTTGGGAGAATGTTATTTAATTTTTATGTAGTTATATAGTTTCCAGAGTTTTTGTTACTGATTTCTAGTTTTATTTCATTGTCGTTAGATAAGTCCTTGATATGATTTTAAGTTTTATGAATTTGTTAAAACTTGTTTTGTGTTCTAGGATACAGTCTGCCCTAGAGAATGTACCGTGTACTCATGAGAATAATGTGTATTCTGCAGCAGCTGGGTGAAATGTTCTCTAAATGTCAAGTCCATTTGGTCCAGAATGTAATTCCAGTGTTTCTTTGTTGATTTTGTCTGGATGATCTGTCTATTATTGAGAGTGGGGTATTGAAATCTACAACTATTATTGTATCGTAGTCTGTCTCTTCCTTTAAATCTATTAATATTTGTGTCATATGTTTAGGTTCTCCATTATTGGTTGCATATATATTTACAATATATATATGCAACCATATATATATTATATATATATGGTTGCTGATGGTTGCTGAATTGACCCTTTTATGATTATGCAATGACTTTTCTGTCTCTTTTATAGTTTTTGTCTTGAAATCTCTGTTATCTGATGGAAGTGTAGCTGCTCTTGTTCTTTTTGGTTTCTGTTTGCATGGAATATCTTTTTCCATCTCTTCACATTCTGTGAAGTAGAATGTAAGTAAAATTAAAACTCAGGTAGGATGTGATATGCTCTGAGAGCAGTATAAAGTGCTGAAGAGATCACATGAAATTACAGTTATATTTGATTCTAGAAATTAGCCCTTTTGGAAGAGAACAATTTTATCCTAAGACTTGTAGAATAAGCAAGATTTCCGTAGGCGAAGATAAAAGGCATTTCAGAAAAGATATAACTTGAGCTAACACATTGTGTCAGGAAAGTGGGAGTGTGTTTGGGACACAGGATATAGAGTAGCACATGGAGTACATGTAGGTGATCAGTGAGAGGTGAGAATAGCAAGGTAGACTGGGGTTGGATCTTGGAGGATGGGGAATCCCAGACAGAATGATTTGCCTTACTTCTTCACCCATTCTTAGGAATTCTTACAGTATGTAAAATACGTACTTAGTTTTTTTCTGTCTCTCCCAACTCAGTTCAACTATGAACGTTCCAAGGGCAGGGGCCTATCTCATTCTTTCCTACTCTCCGCAGTCCCCAGAGGTAGTCAGTGTGCATTTGTTGATTTTGATTGGTAGGCAAGATTTGGTCTCATGTTTTTCAACTTCATTAATGTGGTAAACCAAAGATTAATATGTTTGTTTTTGATCATTCCAGAAAAGAGATAGAGCCAGTGGTTGCTGAGACTGTAGAAGAGGTGAAAGAGGAATCTATCCTAGTTTGTCCACCCTTACGAAGCCGAGCATACACACCACCTGAAGATCTCCAGAGTCGTTTGGAATCTTATGTTAAAAAAGTTTTTGGTTCATCTCTTCCTTGTAATTGGCAAGACGTCTCCCTGGAAGATGGTCGTCTAAAGTTCAGTCTCTTGGTGCATTTAGCTGATGATTTGGGTCATGTAGTCCCTAATTCCAGACTCCACCAGATGTGCAGGGTTAGAGATGTTCTTGAATTCTATAACATTCCTGTTCAAGATAGATCTAAATTTGATGAACTCATTGCCAGTAATCTGCCCCCCAATTTGAAAATCACTTGGAGTTACTAAGCAATTTGGAAGAGAAACACACTGAAATCATTTTTTCTTCCTGGGCAAGGGGGCTGCTTATCATACCTTTCAATACTTTACCATATGAAATACTACCAGAACTGTTCTCTAAACCCACTTTTTCTATAGATGAATGTATCATCTCTTTTTTTTTTTCTCATATTATGAATGGACAAATAACAGGACTTTCTACTTTCATATTTGCTGAAACTTTTTTAAATGAAATTAGGTCATTAATAATTTGAAAAATTTTGAGAGGACACTGTCATTAACTTGGATTTAAGACAGGAGGACATTTCAAGTTCACACCCTTCATTAGGCATAAAGGAGTAGTTGCAAAAAAATATTTTCATCTGGTTAGGACTCATATCTAAGGTAGAGTTATTGTATATTGCACATATACAAATACACTTGTATTAGATAGATACCTATAAAAGAAACAGAAGTATGTTGCATGTTACTGACTGTTCTAGATTAATTTGTTTTGGAATTAAAGTAGATTTGTTGAAGTGTATTGTGTGTTGTAAATTTTTTTAAGTGAAATTCACTTCTGTTCTGCCTTGGCATTTCTTTCCAGTAAGTATAGCTTTGAAAAATTAGAATATGTGCCAACTATTGAGTGCTGTGACTCTTGCTTATAAGAAATGTGCCAGATTCTATGTCTAACTGTGTGTTCTCTTCAGAGGAGATGATGCTTATTTTAAACCTTTTTTCTATAACTTCTAAAAAGTGGTGTTGAGTATTCACTAGAATAGCAAGTCTTTGTACTTTAATGCACTTAATTTGTGGATATTACTTAAATAGCAGGTTATCAGATGGTCCTAAATGACAAAGTTAGTTGTTAAATTTGGGATTATTTATTTATTTATTTTGAGGCGGAGTCTCGCCCTGTCACCCAGGCTAGAGTGAAGTGGCACGATCTTGGTTCACTGCACCCTCTGCCTCCCGGGTTCAAGCGATTCTCTTGCCACAACCTCCCAAGTAGTGGAGATTCCAGGCATGTGCCACCACGTCCAGCTGAATTAATCTTTAGCAGAGACAGGGTTTCACCATGTTGGCCAGGCTGGTATCGAACTCCTGACCTCATGATCCGCCTGCCTTGGCCTCCCAAAGTGCCGGGATTGCAGACATGAGCCACCGCGCCTGGCCAGTATTATTATTATTTTTTTTTTTTTTTTGTTTTTTTTTGAGATGGAGTTTCGCTCTTGTTACCCAGGCTGGAGTGCAATGGCGCGATCTCGGCTCACCGCAACCTCCGTCTCCTGGGTTCAAGCAATTCTCTTGCCTCAGCCTCCCGAGTAGCTGGGACTACAGGCGTGCGCCACCATGCCCAGCTAATTTTTGTATTTTTAGTAGAGACGGGGTTTCACCATGTTGACCAGGATGGTCTCGATCTCTTGACCTCGTGATCCACCCGCCTCGGCCTCCCAAAGTGCTGGGATTACAGGCTTGAGCCACCGCGCCCGGCCACGCCAGTATTATTTTTGTTCAAGCGTTAGATATGGCTGGAGAGTAATGAGACAGAAGGAATGTCTTATATTGTTTTGACTCTGACAATTCCTAAAGAAATGTGATAGGAAGAAATTGCATTTATTCTCTTTTCCAGGGTGACTTGAAGAGGCAAAATTCAGTTGGATATATAAATTCTAGAATGTTCGTTAAGAAAATTAGTTAATAGTACAGCCATGCCCTACAAATGTCATCCAAAGGCACTTCATTCAAGAACTTCAGGTGTCAGTGCCTGGAGTTCTGGAGCTTAGACATTAGAGTTGATTTCTTGATAACCATTGGGGATTGGTTCCAGAACACCTACTTGGATACCAAAGTCCACAGATGCCCAAGCCTTTTGTATAAAATGATGTAGTATTTGCATATAATTTCACCATGCATTTCATATGCACATCCTCCCATATACTTAAATGATCTTTGGATTACTTATAATACTGAATACAATGTAAGTTCTATGTAAATAGTTGTTATGCTGATTAGGGAATAACGAGAAGGAAAAAAAGTATACATATTGAGTGAATATATCAGAATAACGGCCTTTACTTTTCCTGAAGCATGCTTCAAAAGCTGATTATGCAGTTATCTTTTTTCCCCCCAAACATTTTTGATCCATAGTTGGTTGAATCCATAGTTGGGGAACACACAGATATAGGAGACCTACTGTATGTGCAGCTTCTACTATGTAAAAGATCCAGCATTGGAATTTTGTATACAGGATTTGATTATCTCATTTTCTATACAACTTTTCCTTCTGATCCATAGACAGGAAAACAAAGGCCAGATTGGAACTAAGGGATGAGGAGGTCTGTATGGAAAAACACTTGGTTACAACCGGAGAGTTAACTGCAAAAACCAAGCAGCTTCATGTTACTGTTAGAAGAAATTTCTCCTTTGTAGCCTAGAGCAGTATTTTCAAAATTTAATATGCACATTAATCATTTGGGGATCTTTTATTGATTATTTTCATGTGGGGATCTTTTAAAAATGCAGATTCTGATTCGGTAAGTCTGGAGTACATCCTGAGCTGCTGCATGCTTCAAAAGCTGATTATGTTTCGAGAACATGGATCTAGATGCTAGTATTGAGTTGGGAGACAAGTACCACTGCCTGAAACAGTTGTCGTAAATATAGCCAACAAGGAGGGTAAACACATCCAGACAGGGAAGGTAAACTGCACGGCCATCCGTACCTCTAGAGGGCATCACTGGTTTATAGTTCAATAGAGTGAATATATCAAAATAATGGCCTTTAGTTTTCCTGAAAGATTAAATTATGCTTGCTAACTCGTTTAATGAGATAGTCAAACATATGATGTAATTTTAAAGGCTTTACATTTTTTTTTAATTTAATGGCTGCTACATAAAAAGGATATCTGTTAACTAATTTTACTTAGTTGGAACTTCTGTAAGCTTAGTAGGTATGCTTACATAAAGCCTGCTAATAAAATACAGATTCAGACTCAATAGAATGGTTTTACATATGCAATATATGTTTTAAACAACATAAAATAGACTTTCCTGTCTTAACATGTCATTCTTTTTCTTAGAAAGAATAGCACATTCTCTTTAGAAAAGTGGGAAAGATAAAAAGCAAAACCAAGAATGAAAAAAAAAAAAGCTGGGTGCAGGGGCTCACGCCTGTAATCCCAACACTTTGGGAGGCTGAGGTGGGCATATCACCTGAGGTCGGGAGTTCGAGATCAACCCGACCAACACGGAGAAACCCCGTCACTACTAAAAATACAAAATTAGCTGGGCGTGGTGGCGCATGTGTGTAATCCCAGCTACTCGGGAGGCTGAGGCTGGAGAATCACTTGAACCAGGGAAGTGGAGGTTGCAATGAGCTGAGATAGTGTCATTGTACTGGGGAACAAGAGCAAAACTTCATCTCAAAAAAAAAAAAAATTGCTGCTTATAATTACCTAATATTTTGGTATATTTCCATATGAAAAATATTTTTTTCCTGTATTTTACAATTACTATGGGATCATGCCCCTCTTTACATTATAAGCATTTCTCCATATTTTTAAATAGACAAGAGTAACAAATTTGATTAATAGCATATTGTATAATTAGATGTCATTGCAGTTTTTCAACCAATATTCAATTCGATATTTAAGTTTTTCCCAGTTTTTTACTTTTCTGTTCTTTTTTATTCTGCTTTTCTAGTTCTTAGAGAGTTGGTTTGCCTTAAATCTTTCTACTTAGAAGCTACTCTACTGTAAATTTCTTGACCCTAAACAAACCTAAGAATGAACAGTTTGGTCCTGCTTCTTTGGTTCACAGTCTCATTAGCATGTATTCCATGAATCCTAAAACACAAAGTAACAAGGACCTTTAAATTTTTACTAGGTTGTTTCACAGTGCAAAAGTCCTAAAGCTTTTACTTGAAAGGTTTCCAAATTTAAAAATAGTCTGTGTCCTCTGATTCCATAGAATTCAAAATTAATCTTAGGTGTACAATAACAGACTGCAGAGACCACCAAAGTTCTGCTTTCCATAATGAAATATCAAATTCAAAATATGTAACACTGACATAACAATAATATACTGTCTACATTGAAATTTCATCAATGTCCTAGTAATGACCTCTATTGCAATTTCACCTCCAGACCAGGATCCAATCCTGATTTATTTAGTTGTCCATTAATTATTATGTTTCTTGGTCTCATTTATTCTTCTGTATATTTCTTCAAGTAATTGATCTCATGTAAGTTATCGAATTCATTAGCATAAAATTGTTTGTAATATTCCCTAGCTAATGTCAATTGGATCTATAATAATAAGCCTACTTTCATTTTGAGTTATTTGTATCCTATCTTGTTTTTATTTAATCAGTCTATGTTGTAGTTTATCAATTTTTTAGCTTTACCTTTATAATTTTAAAATTATTTATATTGTTCATCCTTTATCATTCAGTTTGAAATATTTCCTAATTTCCAGCATGATTTCTTTTTGACTCATGAGTTATTAGAAATGTTTGATTTTAAAATACTTGAGAGTTTTCTAGATACCTTACTGTTTTTAATTACTAATTTCATTGAGAATATGTAATTTCAGTGCTTTTACATGTATTGTAATTTTATGGCCCAACTTAAGGCCTATCTTGTTGAACATGCCATGTACATTTGAAGTTATTGAGGTGATTAGGGTAAGGTCATTAAACTGTTCAAATCTATTGTTTAAAGGGGGATTTAAAAATCTCCATTCATGGTTATGGAATTGCCTATTTTTCCTATTTCTCCCTTTAATTCTGTCAATTTTTGCCCTATTGATATCTTAAAATCCATTATTTGGATTTATGATTTTTATGATCCTGTCATATAGATATATAATATTTATAATTATAGTCATTACTACTTTGGGTTTCTTATGCTTACTGTTGCATGGAATGTATTTTTTCCATTCACTTAGTTGCATTCTGTCAATGTAAACTACATTAATAATTTTTCACCACTATCCAGATTCTTAGTAGTTCATTCCTTGGCTTGTTTAAAGATTTACTCCAAAAGTGGCCTATAGTTTTAGTTCAGCAAATATAAGTTTGAGAGATTGACTTGTGTGTATTTATGACAATATTATAATATTCTAACAATATTATGTTTGTAAGATTTATCCAGGTAATTGCATGTAGTTGTAATTCATTTATTTTTGTTCTCTAGAAGAGGAATGGCTGGGTCAAAAGTTATTCATATTGTCACATTTATTAGACAATGTCAAATTGCTTTCTGAAGTGGTGGTACCAATTTATATTCCCTTAGTAGGGCTTGAGTCTGAGTGATTCACTTCATAACCAACTTTTATTTTTGGAATTTTTAATTTTTGCCAACCTTATAGGTATGAAATATGCCCCATGATTTTAATTTGCATTTCTTTGATAATAAATGAGATTAAGACTTTTTCCCATATGCTTATGCTTGTGTCTCATTAGTACCTGTTTAAGTCTTTTTCTCATATTTATCTGAGATTTTTAGACATTACTTTTTTCAGAAAAGTCCTACTAACACTTCATTCTATAGCTATTTCAAAAACCTGTGTGAATTAGTTGAGAGGGATTAGTAGGAGATTTGGTGCTCCCCACATTCTGAAAGTGGGGCTTGAGTATTTTATTACTGGTTACTGTGATCACATTTGTATTTTTCAGCTTATGTTGTCTCAGGAAAGAATGACTTACAAATGCAGAGCCCTTCAGAAGTTACCTTGAGTATTTTATTGTAGAGGAAATATATGCCCTAATGGTGCCAATAGAGGTCAAACAACTTCTATAAAGAAAATTATTAAAATATGTGAGTAAAATGTAGTGACAATCCCTAAGAGAGAGAGATTTCAAGAGAACAGAAAATGAACAGGGAAAATGGTGGTACATTTATTGAATTCAGTAACTGTTAAAAGTTAATAGGAAACTAAGGCAAATGGTATGTGGTAATCTGGCTCTGAAGTTAGCTCTGTTACTCTTCAAAAGGCATGTTTGAGGTTTTGGCCTCCTGGGCAACTTGCGGTGGAGTTCTGTCATTTTCCCTTTACTGCTGGAAAAGAAGGCTCAAGAGGAAAAGTCCAGGTACTTTGTGTTTTAATCAGGACTACTTCTTTTGGACTGATTGGAAATAAGTTAAAATCTTTTAGCTCTTGGATTAACTAAATTAGTTTATTTACTTCAGTGTTTGGAATTTTAGCAGTTCATGAGGACAAATAATCTTTTTGCTCAGCTCATTTCATAATCTCAGTTGTAGAGTTGCCAGGAGTGCTCAGATAAGTGTGTCTTTTCATTTCGATTTGCTTAGAAAGGATGACACTAGGGACTTGCTATTATGATAATATAGAGCTGGTTTTTATATTTCTGAGGAAAATGAAAGGCTATCAGAAGTCATTTGTTAAAATGTCTTTATTCTGTCTTCCCCATCCCCTTCAATATTTCTCCCTCTTTTAAAAGACTATTTCCTAGAATGTTATAGAATAAGCCCTCCTATTCTGGGAAACTGGATTGTGGTCCTATTTATATTTTGTTTGAAGGGTAATTTTCTTTTAATATAAGACTAATGCCATGTTAGAATTACATTCTGTGAAAGTATTTCTTGAAGCTTTGAATATATGTCCTACCTATTTATGCAATTCAGGAATGCTTTCTGGTAGTGAAATGTAATGTTAAAAAAATACCAAAAAAAGTAAGTATAAGTTGAGTTAATGACTTTCTAATTGACTTCTTTCTGTTTGAGCACACTGGTTGGTGCATGTAATATTTGAATAGAAATAAATTTAATGGATAATATTGTTAGGGGTGGCGAATATGAGTTACTGGCGGCAAATCTGTATGGGTCTGCAGCAGCTTCATTTCTTGCCTCCTCAGAAGAATTAATTCTACTGAGGGGCATAAAGGAGTAAAAGAGACTGAGGCAAGTTTCAGAGCAGGAGCAGAAGTTTATTAAAAAGCTTTAGATCAGGAAAGAAAGGAAAATACTTTTGGAAGAGACCCAAGCAGGCATCTTGGGGGTCAAGTGCCCCATTTAACCTGGAACCTAGGATTTTATATGCTGGCCTCCTTCTGGCATCTTGCACCCCTTTCCCTTCATCCTTCCCTTAAGGGGAGTCACCCACATGCTTGGTGCCCTGCTTGTGCTCGGGATGTGAGCATGCACAGTATGCTTACTGGAGTTTTGTGCATGCTTATCTGAGGCTTTGTTTTGAACTCTGGTGGAATGTCCCTGGAAGGTCATACTCTGTCATTTTGCCTCTTAATGCACATGCTTGAGCTCATTTGCCCAATTCCTGAAAGCTGCTGATTACCAATTTCAGGTGTTTTTATCTATTGAGAAACTGCCTCTCCTTGGTGCTGGCTGTGACCGATAGTTATTTTAGAGAAACAGAGTGACAATCACTTGATAGTTACTTGACATTCTGGTGGGTGGGGGGAACTCTCTCCTGCCCCACTCATGTATAACTAGCTACCTACTATAACAATATGTGAATGGAATACTATACCTTAAGCTTCCTTAGAGTAGGAACTGCATCTTATCTCTCAGTAACTATGACATGTAAACCCTTGATAAATTCTTTTTGAAGTACTAATCAATTTGACTAAGAGTTGGAGATGTGGATTCCATTTCTGACTCTGTCATGTATTTCTGTGTGATCTTAAGTACTCAATTTCTCAACTACAAGAAAGCAAGTGAAATATGGCACTTGGAAGCTATAGTATCACTTATTTTTAAGCTTCTCAGGAAACAGATGCAACATTTACACATCACTGAATTATTCTCAGCACTTCTCTATCTGTAGGCTCATTCTCATCAGTGTGTATTTATGCCTGTGTCTGTCTCATCTCTCTCTCATATATATACATACACACACATATATACATACATATATGTTCAGTGTGCAAATATATGCAACACAAACATATATATATATATGTATTTTACTTTCAATCTGTCTTTTTTTGACAATGTGTTTCTGAAAAAGAAACACTTGCTTTTTCAACTAGTTTGACAATCTGTCTCTTATTTATGTATTTATTTTAAGGATAGGATTTCAGATCTGTCACCCAATCTGGAGTCCAGTGGCATGATCACAAATCACTGCACCTCAACCTCTTGAGCTTAAGCAATTCTTCTGCTTCAGCCTCTCAAGCAGCTGGGACTACAAGTATGCCCCACCACACCCTGCTAATTTTTACATTTTTTGTAGAGATGGAGTCTCCCTATGTTGCCCAGGCTGGTCTCAAACTCCTGGGATCAAGTGATCCTCAGACCTCAGCCTCCCAAAGTGCTACGATTACAGGCATGAGTCACCACACCTGGCCTGTGTCTTCTAATTTGAGTGTTTGATCTGTTTATATTTTTTGTTTGTTTGTTTGTTTTTTGAGACGGAGTTTCGCTCTTGTTGCCCAGGCTGGAGTGCAATGGCGCAATCTCGGCTCACCGCAACCTCCGCCTCCTGGGTTCAGGCAATTCTCCTGCCTCAGCCTCCTGAGTAGCTGGGATTACAGGCACGCGCCACCATGCCCAGCTAATTTTTTGTATTTTTAGTAGAGACGGGGTTTCACCATGTTGACCAGGATGGTCTCGATCTCTTGACCTCGTGATCCACCCGCCTCGGCCTCCCAAAGTGCTGGGATTACAGGCTTGAGCCACCGCGCCCGGCCCAGATCTGTTTATATTTAACATAATTATTGATATAGTTGGGTTTAAAACTCCCATCTTGGTATTGGTTTTCCATTTATCCCATTTATTATTTGCTCCTTTATTCCTCCTTTCCTGTTGTGGCTGATTGAATTTCCCAAAGATGTATACACAAACACACATACAAATACACACAGCCAGGTGTGGTGGCTCATGCCGGTAATCCCAGCACTTTTGGAGGCCAAGGCGGGTGGATCACCTGAGGTCGGGAGTTTGAGACCAGCTTGGCCAACATAGCGAAACCCCTTCTCTACTAAAAATACAAAAATTAGCTGGGTGTGGTGGTGGGCGCCTGTAATCCCAGCCACTCAGGAGGCTGAGGCAGGAGAATCGGTTGAACCCAGGAGGTGGAGGTTGCAGTGAGATGAGATTGTGCCATTTTACTTGAGCCAGAGCAAGAGTGAAACTCCGTCTAGGAAAAAAAAAGTGACATTCATTACTGACCACAGGTCAGGAACCTTGTAAAGGGTTATGTAGAGAAGGTACTTACTAGGCCAGTCTTTCTAAGGTGTTTTGTTTTGTTTTTTTTTTTTTTAATCAGCTCTATAAAGTCAACCTCAATTTCTCAAAGAAGTAAGATCATATTTGAAAATGTACCATTTCAGTCAGAGCTTTGGCAAAATAACCAGTGGCTCCAATGTGTCCTGTTAGAAAACATATTCTTATTGAATTTATGTAATTAATGATATTTCCATAAAATAAGAATACAAATAGTTTCCAAATTTTAGAGAATTCTGGTAGAAAGGTGAATTTTTCTCACAAAAGTATATTCTATTCAATTGTTATAAACCATAGCACATAAGAAGAAAGGTATATTAGTCAAGGTTCTCTAGAGGGACAGAACAGGATATATGTATATATGAAAGGGAGTTTATTAAGGTGAATTGACTTACATTATCACAAGGTGAAGTCCCACGATAGGTCATCTGCAAATTGAGGAGCAAGGAAGCCAGTAGTGGATCAGTTCAAGTTCCAAAACCTCAAAAGTAGGGAAGCCAACAGTGCAGCCTTCAGTCTGTGGCTAAAGGCCCAAGAGCACCTGGCACACCACTGGTGTAAGCTCAAGAGTCCAAAAGCTGAAGAACTTGGAGCCTGATGTTTGCGGACAGGAAGCATCCAGCATAGGAGAAAGATGAAGACCAGAAGACTCAGCAAGTCAGCTTCTCCCACCTCCTGCCTGCTTTATTCTAGCCCTGCTGGCAGCTGATTGGATGGGGCTCACCCACACTGACAGGGGGTCTCTCTCTCCCAGTCCATGACTGAAATGTTCATCTTCGGCAACACCCTCAAGAACACACCCAAGAACAATACTTTGCATCCTTCAATCTAATCAAGTTGACACTGAATATTAACTATCACACAAGGTTTCTTTTGCTGAGCAGAAGCTCTTTAATTAGATTCCATTTGTCAATTTTGGCTTCTGCTGTAATTGCTTTCGGTGTTTTTGTCTTGACTCTTCTTTAATCAGACAAAGTAGCAGCCTTCCAAACAGGGTGTTATCAATTAACTTTGGCACTGCCATCCGCAAACCAAGCAGCTCTTTGTAAGGCAAGTGAAAGCTATTTATTGGGCAC